ACTGGGATGTTGAAGCCGATTTGCCGCGTTGGTGTTGACAAGCCGAAGCTCGCGGATGCTCACAGAGTTGTCGGCCCGCTGCACTGCGCGGCCCGCCATGCGTCGAGGATCGTGGTTGTTACCAGCCACAGATGGCTTCAGGGATGGGCGATTTGATTTGCTGGAGGCAGATGGTAGTGTGTGCCACACCAGGTACAGGATGCTGCTCGTATGCGCCGCCAAGTGTGATCAGGAGCGGCCGCAAATTCGGTCGCAGCGCGTAAAGTCGAGCAGTCCAATCACATGTCAGAGGGCCTCCTCAGCCCAGGAGGTCAGTATGGCGAGACCCGCTGCAGCCCAACTCTTGGAGGGCCATGGGAGAAAGGCTACGTAAGTCAGCAGCATCGCGTAGAGACTGCCCATAAAACCTGAGGGCCCAGCGCGTGGCATGTTCATGTACAGTTGATGCACCCCGTCGCCCGGCAGCGTCATATCGAGCCTCGAGCGACTACCCCACCCCGCGCAGCCATCCACACCACCGTGTTGCCCTGCGCACGTCGAGCTATCCGCACCCGTAGCCAAAAATAAGTCGCCGCCTGCCATCGCCGGCGATCCAGGCACCGCTGCTGCAACGACACCGCAGCGCATATCCTGCACTCGCCCACCATGGACGGCCGCAAGCAGGGCCGCCCGGACGAGGAGCTCTTCCTGCGATACGACAACAACAGCAACCCAGACACGCCCATCATTCCCACCGTCGGGCCCCTGAGGATACAGAAGGGTCGCGATGGCAAGAGCCCGCCGCCGCGAACAGACTCGGCGGGCAGCTCGAGCCAGCCCGCCTTCTCGCGCCCTCCTCCCATGCCCTCGTTCCCCGCGCCGCCCACCAGCCCGCCCAACGCCCCTCTGCCCTACCCCGACAGCGACCGCCCGCCCACGCTCAGCACAGGCAGATACACTCCGCTCAGCGAGAGGGAGCGCCGCGCGCGAACAGCCACACCCCCTGACGGCGCAGACGGACCGCGGCGAGGCTCCAATGCGACAGGACCGAGTCCCACCTCGCCCAGCCAGCGCGCCCGCTTCGACGCCAACGACCCAAACCGACCCACGATAAGCGGCTATGGCGCGCGGAATCCAGACGGCTCTATCCAGCCCTCGAGGCTGGCCGAGCGCAGAGGGACAGCCCCGAAGCCGCTCCCAGACTCGCCAGGCCCAGAGGCGCCCGACAAGGAGGGCTTGTTCCAGAAGGCGCCGCAGCGAAAGGGCAGCGAAGACGTGGGCGCCAGCAACCCATACCCCGAGTACCACCAGCAGTACTTTCCCCCGCCCGCTGCTGGCCCCAGTGCGGCCCCGGCTGCGCCCGCTGCGCCAGTCGTATACACAGGCCCTAACCAGAATGAGCCGGTGCTCAAGGTGCCTACGCCCATGGACGTCAACCGCATGAGCTCCACCGCATCGACGTCAACAGTGAGGGCACAGAGAGGCTCACCTCCGCCCCCGGAGACGCCCATCATACCTCCCTCTGGCGGTGGCATAGAAGCGCGCTTTGCCGCAGCTGGCATTGCAGGAACCTCTACACTCACCAACCTCCAAGCGCAGAGTGCCCAGAATGCGGCAGCTGCTCAGCGCAACCAGATATATGCCAATCAGCAGCCCAGGCCGGGTCTCTCAACACCACAGCCGAGCCAACAGCCGGCGAGGAGACCATGGACGCCGACCGAGCAGCCTGGAGGCAATCCACATGGTCCACCGGCTGTATACCAGGGCATGGATCAAGTGCCTCCTTCGAGCACTCCCCCACAAGGCCCCCTTCCGCAGGCACCGAACACTCGCTTTTCGCCGCCTCCTACCAACGTGAACGTACCTCCAGAACACCCTCTGAACCACGAGATGGGACGGATGAACTTGAACGAGGAACCCCCTCCAGCCTACTCGAGTATAACAACCCCGCCAACAGGCCAAGCCCACAGCTATCCCAACGAAAAGGGACAGCAGCCAGCTGCCCAAGGAGCTGGTTTCTCAGACCCTAACCAAGGCCATCCGGCATTCGCAAATGACCCGCGTCCACAAGCTGGACCATCACAACCTGTGGCGGTCATCGCACCAACGCCGACGCAAAACCAATTCCCTCCTCAAATACAAACCACCCAACCCGCTCACACACCAAGTCCAGCTCCGGGACCCGGACCGGCCTCTCCTCCACCGCTTCCTGAAGGCTGGATAGCACATCTGGACCCTAGTTCTGGCCAGTATTACTACATCCATCTTCCAACCCAGTCTACGCAGTGGGAGTTCCCCAAGGGTCCGACACCTCTCAATCTGAATGAGCCCATGTCTCCTACAGGCACATTTGTCGGCGGTCCTTTGGCGTCTCCGTCATTTGGTAAGGCCCCCATCGCATCGCCTGGCTTTGCTCCGCAGACGGCCACTTTTCCCGGAGACTTTGGCATGGCGCCGCTTGCGACACCAACCACTACCGGCTTCACTGGACCGCCTCCAGTTGCTGGTGTAGACCAATACAAGGTTGCTCCTACCAACGGTGTCTACTTTGGGCCTTACCTCAGATACACCAACATGGACATCGAGCGAGGTCTGTGGCTAGGTTCAATACTGCTCATCACAAACACCCCTCATCCACCGACGATCCACATCCATCAGAGTGCAGATTTATCACCAAATCCGCGACAACTGAAGGCCAACCCCATCTATACACATCAGACGTGGATCTTTTACCGATACGACATTGATCTGAGAATGGAAGATGAGCACGCTGCAAAATGGACTTACGCCATCACCTCGCATCTGGGCTGCACTCGCTTCGAGTTTCTGGTCGCAGGCCGAAACGAGACCAGTTGGCGGTTTATTGCTCACTCTGGCAATGACTTCGCGCTGAACGTCAACGCTAATGAGAGAGCGAGGCTTGGTGGTGTAGGCCTGATGTGGAAGGATATCCTACAGAAGAACGCTGAGTGTGGTGGCTTCCACGTACAGCTAGGACTGGGTGGTCAGATCTACGCCGACCGGCTATGGAAAGAACTTCCTTTGCTAAAGCAATGGACCGCGACAAGTGGTAAAGAGGCCCGAAAGAATGCACCATGGACTGCAAAGCATGAAGAAGATGTCTGTCATGCATACTTCCACTATTACACAAGTCACTTCGACCAGCCACACTTGCGAGAGGCATTTGCACAGATACCTCACATCCTTGCTCTCGATGACCATGACATGTAAGTTCAATCCGTATGTGACACAGCAAGCAACCCTAACATTACCCAGATTTGATGGTTTCGGATCATACCCTGAATACATGCAGTTCTCGAACATGTTTAAGAACATCGGAAGACTGGGCATTGAGATGTACTTGCTCTTCCAGCACCACACAACACTAGAAATTCTCCGGAATGTCAACAACGACATGGACCTTTTCACTATCACGGGCACAGGCTGGCACTTCATCAAGTATCTGGGTCCATGCGTTACAGTTGTTGGCCCCGATTGTCGCTCTGAGCGCAACCCGCATCAGGTAATGGCAGGACCGACATATCAAGGTATCTTCCCGAAGGTTGCGACTCTACCGCCGAGCGTGCAGCACTGCATTTGGATGGTGCCTGTTCCCATTGTGTACCCTCGCCTAGAGTCAGTTGAGCACCTTGCCCACTCCATGGCTACTGGCAAGAAGGCTGTCACGGGTACATTCAACATGCTTGGAAAGGTGACAGCTGGTGTCGCTGGCGTTGTCGGTGCTAAGAGTGTGGTCGGCGATGGCTTCAACTCTGTCAAGAAAGCTATTGGCAAGTCAGGTCTGATGAGCGGAGTTCTGAGTCCCTTTGGCGAGATCGATTTGCTTGATGAGCTGAGAGACCAATGGACGCACGATTCAAAGGTTGGTGATGCCCATCTACCGTCAAAGTATCTGCTAACATATTGAAGGATCTCGAACGAACCTACTTGATACGAACACTCCAAGGCATCGCACACAACAAGTCGCTACGAATGACGTTCTTCTCTGGTGCCGTCGACTGCTGCGGCGCTGGCCTCGTCCATGACCCATCGAGACCCCAAGATCACAAGACAATGTACCAGATCATCTCATCGTCAGTGGTAAATGGGCCGCCTGGAAGCTATGTGCTGCGACTCCTTCACAACAACCGTGCTCTCTACGTCCCACAGAACGGACACCGCAGCAACAACCAACCCAGCGACACGAAGGAAGACATGATGGAGATTTTCACGCAAGACGTGAACGGACAGCCTCGAGAACACAAGAGGCTGATGGGTCGACGAAACTACGTCGCTTGTGTCATCTACGATCCGGAGATCGTCAACGGGACGTTTGGTCAGGCTGTCCCGGGACATGGCAGTGGCAAGTTGAGTTTGGCGGTTGATTTCATGGTGCAGAACGATGGCGGATACAGTGCGCCGATGAAGTACGGGCCTGTCATCGTCCCCAGTCTGGAGTATGGTAGATAGACGGACGACCGACATTTTTGTTTTCTTCTGTTCCAAAGGCGAAATGCATAGCAAGCGTTGTATATGCTTTCTTGGATGTATGTTTGGGCGAACTCTTTCAATATGATATCAAGCAACAATAAAGGCCTTTCCACGCATGGTTCACAGATCGATCGAGCCACTGCGATTAAGTGATTAAGACAGTCCCCTCCGCTGACAGCTCTGCAGGGCGCTGGGAGGTGGAATGGTTTGCCGAATTCGGCAATGACATGTGCAGGGCTTGGCTACCCGCGGCCTTTGAATTCTCGACGGCGAGACAGGACAGAAACTACACCACCCACACAATGACAGCTCCTGCGATACAGGCGACGGCGATACCGCGATTTCTCCTGCCGCAACTATCATGGCCCGCGCGGGTGTCACGGCCGGCTGCGCTGGGCGCACTGGAACAAAGTCGGCATAGATGCAGTGTAGCTTCCGAACGTCGCGCTGCCTTTCCGAAGCCATTGTCACGAACAACAATCCAGTGGCCAAAAACATCACCACAACATGCAAGCGGCTATGCGTCTGCCATGGAGCTACGGCGCAACTTCAGCGCGACTGCACGGCAATCCAAGGACCATCACTTCGACACGCTCAAGTTTGTGCAGCGGCTGAAGGAGGAGGGGTTCACAGAAGAGCAAGCCGAGGGCATGATGAGGGTTCTCAGCGATGTAATTGAGGAGAGGTTAGTTTAGACACGACTACTCAAGATCTGCAATTGACGTATACAGCATACAAAATCTCACGCGCACCATGGTCCTCCGCGAAGACCAGGAGAAAGCCACCTACACGCAGAAAGTCGACTTTGCCAAACTCCGCTCCGAACTCATGACGGCCGACTCGACTGAATCGAGTCTGACGCGCGCATCGCACGAGCGCCTCACGAACGAGCTCGCAAAGCTGAACTCGCGCTTACGGGACGAGATACAACGGACACAGGCGTCAGTACGGCTAGACTTGAACCTGGAGAAGGGACGCATAAGGGAGGAGGCAAACGTGCAGGAGCTCAAGCTGAAGGAGACCGAGACGAGGATCGAGCAGGAGACGGCGCAGCTGCGGGAAAGGCTCGAGGCGGTCAAGTTCTCAACGCTGCAGTGGCTCATGGGTGTGTGTACGGGTACGGCGGCGTTGATGTTGGGTGTCTGGCGGTTGTTAATGTGAGGCACGATGCGACTGCTTGTATGGAGATATGTTGGGTCAGACGCGGACAGCCTCAGAGGCCACAGAGCGCAAGTGCACACGGCCATGTTTCTGCGCCGCACCATATATGTGCAACAGTGCCTGTCAATGCAGTTTACGGCTGCAGCGGATCAAGAGCTCCGTGCACGACGAAAGTGATGCCGAGACGGCAATGGTTGGTTTTAGATAAGATAGTGTGGCGTGCATATGCAAGCACGCGGGAACAACGTTGTCCGTGTCGAGCACTGAATACAAACGGCTGCCTTGGTATTCAGGCAAATTCACGAGCTGCGCGCTGATATTGAGAGGGCTGCAGCCCGCCTATGAGGCCATGTGGATACAGACGCCAGGTCGCCTAGCCGGCCTGGCGCCTCAGATCAGCCACATGTGACACGGGAGGCTAACGCTCTGGCATTTGGCCGTGGTCGTGGTACTTCACCGCAACGTCACACGAATCATGGCGCAGAGTCGTCGCAGCGCAACAGCTTGCGGCCAGGTTTTCTAGCTGTTTCCAAGCGGCACTGATTGGCCCCCACCTGGACATGGGACGGCAGTCTAGGAATCAGCCTCTTGCTGGCGGCCGCGCTTCAGAGCCCGACTGGTGTGACGGCTCGACGGCTGCTCGACGACGTTACAGGCCGTCTGGCGTAAGATGAGGGCAGGACGGTGCCATAGCACGTGTCGCGAGCCAGGCCCGGCGCATGGTAGTCCTGAAGCCTGAAGGGGCCGGTGAAAGGACAGACCCTGGAGCTGCTCACGTGCCCATGTACCCCTCATTGCCAGCTTGCACCAAGATAGGCGTACATGGCGGCGCAACAGCAGGGCGATAGGGCGCTTTGAGACTGAGGGTTTGGAGATGGCAGAGGGTGTGTGCCAGCGCGCAAACGGGGCAGCAGATCATGTGAAGGGCAGCGGAGGCGCCAATTGGGGGAAGGCGCAGTCGAGGTGGTGTTGTTCGCTCAGCGTCTGTGCACGGGTCGTTCTTAGGGCAGACGCTCGCTTCCTCAAAACAACTTCGATCCTCTTCTGCCCGTTGATCCACACAAACACCTCAACAACTCCGCCCACCGTCTATCCTTCCATACGCACCTGCACCACCCCTCACAGTCCCCCGACTACCACAACCCCCCCCAACTCAACCATCACAATGGCGACTGAGGTACGTCGTGCTGATTCTGCCCCATCCCCCCGCTACTGTCCCCGGCGGGATGCCCCTCTGAGCCCCGATAATCCCCAAGCAAGCAACGCAGGCTAACCGTCCGCAGCGTGAGAGGTACGAGACAGCTGCCCGAGACAGCGCCCGCCAGTAATTGACGTCGCAATAGCAAGACTTTCCTCGCCCGGCTGTGCGAACAGGCTGAGCGTTACGATGGTAAGTCTCCGCGCGCTCCCTCCGCTGGCCGCGCAAGCTAACAGTCGTGCAGAGATGGTTACCTACATGAAGGTCAGTTTGCTCGCCCGTCGCTGCTCACCTCAACTCACATGCTAACTGTTTCGCAGGAAGTCGCCAAGGTATGCCCGACCGCATCCGCTCCTAAACGAGCAGGCGCCCGCCACTGCGCAGGCTCCCATCAGCGCCCGGCTAACGCAGCATAGGTCGCCGGTGAGCTCACCGTTGACGAGCGCAACCTTCTGTCTGTCGCCTACAAGAACGTTGTCGGCACCCGACGCGCGTCGTGGCGCATCATTTCGTCCATCGAGCAGAAGGAGGAGTCCAAGGGCTCTGAGAAGCACGTCGGCACCATCCGCGACTACCGCCAGAAGATCGAGACCGAGCTTGAGCAGGTCTGCCAGGATGTCCTCAACGTCCTCGACGACTCCCTCATCCCCAAGGCCGAGTCTGGCGAGTCCAAGGTCTTCTACCACAAGATGTGCGTCCACACCGCTTTCTCCGCTGTTTTCATTGCAAACAGGGCTAACACCGGCACAGGAAGGGCGACTACCACCGCTACCTTGCCGAATTCGCTTCCGGCGAGAAGCGCAAGGTCGCTGCGACCGCTGCACACGAGGCTTACAAGGTATGACGCAATGGCTACCCAGCAACATGAAACCATCTAATCCCGCAACACAGACGGCCACCGATGTCGCCCAGACTGAGCTCACACCCACCCACCCCATCCGTCTCGGCCTTGCGCTGAACTTCTCGGTCTTCTACTACGAGATCTTGAACTCACCGGACCGTGCTTGCCACCTTGCCAAGCAGGCCTTCGACGACGCCATCGCTGAGCTCGACTCCCTGTCCGAGGAGTCCTACCGCGACAGCACCCTCATCATGCAGCTCCTCCGTGACAACCTCACTCTCTGGACGTCATCAGACGGCAACGAGGGCGAGGCCGCCGCCACCACCGACGCACCCAAGGAGGAGGCCAAGACCACTGAGGACGCACCCGCTGCATCCGAGCCCAAGGCCGAGGAGCAGCCTCCTGCTGCCGCCCCTGCCCCCGCCGCTTAAGCACACTCTCCCTCTCTCGACCTTGTGTATCCTCAGCCGTCGTCATCTGTTCTCGAATAGACGAAGGAGGCCGGCAGCGAGTGTCCTACGGAGTTGTACGTGTTCTGTGTGATTTCAAAAATTGGCTTTGGCAGCAAGCGGTTCGGTACGGTCGAATTCCCCATGACTGAATGTATTTCCCTTTACTCTCCTATTGCCGGCGCTGTCCCATCGAGCACGCAGTGTGCTGGGGTCGCGTTCCGCACACGACTCTAGTACTTCTGAGCTCTTCCTCATGAGAGTCTTGGGCTGCTACCGGCGAGATAGGGCTGCGTTTGGTACGTCGGATGCTACCCTCAATTCCCCCATGTTTTCGTTTTGGCAGCACATAAACACCTCGATCCTATGCCGACAGAGATGTTTGACATCCTCTTGGTGATTCTGGGAGTCAGGACATCAGTTTCGATGGCCGGTAGAGCAGTACGCAAAGCTCTGGAGGGCTTAATGTCATCATACTGCACTCTTAGCTAGCCAAAGGAATCGCTACTTCAATCTTGCACTCTTATGCCGTGATATAACTTGAACCTTGAGGCGCGTCCATTCTGACTCACTGCAACGTGCATATATGTCGTCGATCTGGACTCTGATCGGTCCTTTTCCATGTGCCAGACCCCGTGGGATGAACCGCCCCACCACTTCGAGCCGAGGGACCTCCCCGCCCAACTTTTCCGTTTCTCATGTCGCGTCGCGTATGGCAAAAGTTTCGAACCAGCCCTTCAAGGGCGAGCGGCGCTCATAATTCCCTGCAAAGAATTTTATTCCCTAAAGGCCTATTGCTACCCTCCGCACGACCCATCTAAGCCACGGACCGCCGCGCAAAGTAAAAAAAAACCATGGCCTACACCAAAAACTACTACCACATCCTGCAGTTGCCCGCGCCAGGCTGGACCTCGAAACAGCAAACCAGCCCAGCAGAGCTCCGCCGAGCATACAAACTCGCCCTGCTAGCCGCGCATCCAGATAAAGCCAGCGCCGTCGCCGCCACGACCACGACCACGACCGCAACGCAGACGAAGACGAAACCCGCATACACAGTCGACGACGTCAAAGAAGCCTACACAACCCTCGCAAACGCAACCTCAAAATCCGAATACGATAATTGGTTCCTGCGCCATGGCGATGGGCTGATCACGACGACGATGACGACGGGCAAGGAGGGTGCGAGGGGGGAAGTGCAGTTATCGAGTGATTTTGTGTTGGGGCTTGAATTACTTGATTTGGCGGATTTTGAGATGTGGGAGGGGGGTGATGTGGATACATCTGCTTCTCTGGGTGCGCAAGGAGGAGAAGGGCAGACGACGTGGACGCGAGGCTGTCGGTGTGGTGCAGACAAGGGGTTTAGCATTTTAGAAGAAGAGTTGGAGGATGCGGAGGAGAGGGGCGAGAAGGAGGTGTTGGTTGGGTGTGTGGGGTGTAGTTTGTGGGTTAGAGTTGGGTTTGAGGTTGAGGTTGAGGGTGGGTGATGGGAGGAGGTGGGGGGTATCACTACGGTATTGGCGATGTCGTTGAGATGGTGTATGACTTTGTCGACTGCCCGCCCCTCTGGCGCTTCATGCTGTCTTCGAGGCTTGTTTTGGGCACGGTGGCTTTTGCGACTGCTAAAGAGACATGCTGAGTCTGATCTTGTCATCCAGCGCATTTGACAGTCATGGCCCCAGGGCGCGCACTGGTTCCTTCAGTCCGATGTCTAAATGATGTGATTACACTAGACTATTGAAGCATGTAGTAGTACTTCCAACTACATGCTTCAATAGTCTAGTGTAATCACATCAATCAGACACCGGACTTTGGCGTGTACGTAACGCTGCTTTGCCTTTGGGGGAAGACAGTGGGAAGATCTGTGGAGGGAGGTTTGCTGGATCATGGCATATTCCAAACCGAGAAGAGACTTAGGAAAGAGAAAGGATAGCATGTGGTCCAAGTCTTCCTTTCGAGCCTGCTCGAAGAGACATACATGCGGTCAGCAAGGCGGTAGTCCATGTGAACTCATGATTACGGTGCTTTAACGAGCACATATTACGAAAAGCCCAACATCACTTAGATGCCGCGATGTGATATCTCTGTCTGTTACGAATGGCAGATGGAGGGAAATCATCGACCCAGTGAAGCGGAGAGTTTGACCTGAGCCGGAGGGGGCATCAGTTTATTCATCTATTCTGAGAAGGTAAAAAAGCCATTGGGTAAGAAAGTCTGGGTATAGAGACATGTATAAATGAGAGACATGTGATACAGCCAAAGCAAGGCTGTACCAGTAATTGAGACATCCCCCCCACGCTGGTTATTATTGAATAGACAGAAAATCCACCAACGCCAGTCAAACCAGAGCCCATGCAGCTCACCTTGATCACATCTTCGACTGTGTCGCCAGCATCGCCTTGAGCTCATCGACCTGCTTCTGCAACGCAGCCTTGTCCGCCTCAAGCTGCGCTTCCGACGTCTGATGCGACTTAGGCTTGGGCTTATGAACATTCGGTCCGATCAAGTCGCCGTTGTCGTCAAGTTTCATGCCCTGCTTCTTCAGCATATCTCTGATCTCTAGCTCCAATTTCGCAAATGTCTCGACATGCGGGATCCCATATCTCTCACACGTTATCTGAACGTTGTCCCATTTATGGTACCGTGGGTCACAGCAAACCACCACCTTTTTGGATTTAGCGAACAGACCCAACTCGAGCAGAGAGACTGGGCTGTTGGTGTCGACATCGAAGAAGAAGCAGATGACGTCTGCTTGGTCTTGCGCGTCCAGTTCCCAATCGATTTGTGCTCGCATTCCTGTAAGTCCATTATCGTCTTTCACGCGAGCCAAGGCTGGGTTCCAATCTTTCTTCGGTCGTCGTGGATCGCACACGGTGATGGGTAGGTCCCGAAGATGATTTGCCATGAGCGACTGCCACTCGACCGCTTTACCCATCTCTATACTACCAGCGGTAAAGACGTTGAATCTTCGGTATGGAGGCGGATCCACGGCATTTCCACCGAGAGTAGTCGAGGACTTAGGGGTAGAGTGCTTCCAATCTTCGTGTTCTACTGGCAATGGCTTCGAGAGAAGCGGTTCAAGTTGGGCATTTCCAATATCGTCTCTTTTTATTGTGAAGACCGTCCCGGGCGCTTTAGGCGTGTTACCCTTCGTCGACTCGCTGTTGGTAGTCTTGTTCTTATCTTGGGACTTCTCGGTCATCGTGGACATGATTGAGCTCTTCGTTAAATGGCTTGTCAACTGCTGTAGTCGGTTTTTGGCGGCGAAAACTCCTGAATTTGTAGGGAAAGTAGCTGATCGGGCTGTAGGGGTGTATGAAGAAGGCTGATGGAAAGTGTGGAAGCTGGAAATGCAAGTCAGTTCCGTGGTTCTTATGCTTCTTGGTGGGGTCTAGTCATACCGGGCCAATGACATAGCTTGGACCCTTGAGGCCGGTATGTCTGGGGTCTCGGGGCAGTCGTGGAACGATGCAAACGGAATCGCACACGGATACTGTTGGCAACGCAATCGACTCAGATGTTGTTTGTGATACGAAACTGTGACTGGAATGATGGGGCAGATACTTCACAATGCGCATCGCTTTGTCCTCTTTATTTGCGCTTCATTGACGCTGCCTGGACGTTTGGCGCCTGGGATCCACAAGGTTGAGGCGCAGACCCCAACAGGGCGGCTGACGGTTCGCATGGCGGTAATTCATGCCATAGACTGCACGCGCGCGATTCTTCACACACCGACTTCTTCAGTCTAGGATATTACCCATACATTGGTCGGTACCGGGGCAGTGCCGCTGGTGTCTCGTTCGTTCTCTTTGTGGCGTCTGCGGCAAGGCTGTCTAAGGCTGCCATTCAAGGCAGTTACCCGGACCACGCGAAGCAATCGTGTTGATCACACAGCTACACACTAGTCTACTGAGTAAGTGATCTCGTGATGTTGGTTTTCGTGTACGAGGTCACGGACTTGGCCGGCAGAGTTATCGCGATGAGTAGATGGCAGTCATAGCTAAGGCTGAAGCTCACATAAGGGCGCGAAGAGGCTGGAGCACGTTAATCACACTAGCACCGAGTATTACCTTCCCCACATAAAGAATGTGGATCACACCTTGACGCCCGCGTTAAGAGAAGCCCTGGTCATAAGAGGAACCCGGTGTGGCGATGCAGTCACAGGTGCAACATCACATCAGGATCAACCATGGAGTCAAAAAGGGCCTAATTATCGCCTAGCGTACGGAATGCTGACTGACAACGATCGACAGACTCACAAGCCCATATGAACAGTCAAACCACGTCTGCCTACGATTTCCAACGACGCATTGTTGACCACGCAGTAGACGCCCAAACAAGAAAGAAATGAACATGCCAATCCCCGAGCACTTGCATAAGTGCATCTCCAATTTCTGACCGAAACATCTAAGAGAGCACCTTGGACACAGAAAAAACTGAACACCTACCTCATTAAGGTCTACATTGCTGTAGAGAATGTGTAAACTTCAACTTTGATCCTAATGTAGACAGTAGAGCACCTGTTCAATTTTTTCTTTCTATGACGTGCAAGAAAGATAGAACACGGGTAACTCTCGACAAAACCTGGTTCCTGCGGCCTTACATCTCGGCCTAATCCATCAATCTCACCAACGTTGTCTCTCCATCCAAGGTCTCACTCTGACCGGTCTCACCTCCGACGTTTTGGCAGGAGATCATGGAGGAATTTCTTGCTCTCGTCCTTCTAGGCGACAAGGTTGCTCATGAGCGGGTTTTCGTGCTTCTTTCCCCTCAACGTCAAGGTCGGGGTACCATGACCTCTCGCAGTGTCTGCCGGTGTGCTGCCATGGCCAGCCGGCTTGCGCGCGGCCACCTGATTCGCCAATTGGGTCTGGTTGTGGTCCTCCGGCTTATCCATGATCTGGAAACAGAGTGAAGTGTCTGCAGTAATCATAGTACAGAGACACTTGATGCCCACGAACTTGACAGGAACCGGCTCAGCTTGTACCCCATGCAGTTTCTTCATCGACTTCCGAAGGGTTTGGAGGTCGAAGCTGGACCTGGAAGCGGCCGGCGGCGCAGCCTGAGAACGTGACTGAGTAGGATCGTGGAGGTTGCTCATCGACCGACTAGATCGCAGGTCCTTCAAAGTGGGTGCACCACCACCGCGCTTTTTTGGGAACTTGGGGAGCGTAGGTAAACGTTCTAGGAGCGACTTCTTCGGTGTCTTCTTGAACTCGACTGGGACTCTCCGTGCGAGCCACGATCGACCACAGCCTTCGCAGACGACGCCAAATCGTATAGCCCTGGCGCTGTCCTCAGACAAAGGGATCACCTCCGGGTCGTTCATCGGTTGGAACTGTTTGACCAGAACCCGAGGAGACCGTTGTGGCCGGGTTGGCGCAGGATAATTGGCAGGATGTTCCTCCAGTTTGCACTTAGCACAAGATCGGTGGGTACATTCGCAGCTCAGAACGTGGAGTGGGTGGATATGTGGTTGAACGTAGACCTTGTGGCGACGGTTACACTTGCAACAGCGCCACTTGCCGCTCGAATGCCCCTTGGGTCTCAGGTTTATATCTCCGGTGAGATCGTACATCGCTGTTTGAAACGTCTGTTAAGCTGTTAGCACGAATAGAAAGATGTCTCGGTACCGCGTTGCCAAAGCATAGCAAGGGGGCTACATGAAGTAGAGTGTCTTAGAACTGCGTTAGCAAAGCATAGCAAGGGAGCTACATACTAGTAATAAGTTAGCAAGGTATTCTGAAAGCTATGCGAGGCGGCTACTTTACCCTCGGGAGAGACGTAGTGGCTGTTGGGGTCGGGCCTGACGGGTTTGGATTTGGGTTTGCGATTGGAGTCGGCAATTTCCCAAGCCCATTCCCTTCTCTCATCCTCCGTCATGTTTGATAAGTCCGTCCCTATTTTCCGTGGGCCGCCAGGATCTGCGAGTGAATCTGTACGTTCAGGAAGCGCGTTCTTGTTGCGTCCATCTGGTTGGTGCTCTGACGATGAGGACGGTAGAGCGCTGAGGTCAGAACCGTGACTTGGCAACGAGGACGTCAGGCAGTCTGCGCCTTCAGGGAGCGGGCCAATGAAGGGCTCATCTGGATGTTCGCCAGAGGCAGAACCGTGAGCTGACGATGAGGAAGCCGCCGAGTCGGAGTTCATACGTTCACCTAGCTCGTCGTCGGTGTGATCTACTGACTGGTTGCCAGAGGTAGAACCGGGTCCCGACAGCAATTCTGTCCAAGGTTTCTTTCCCGTGGGGTTGGAGGCCATGGCGAAGAGCTTGCGTGGTGTAGACAGCGAGGGATGTGCAGAAGCAAGCGGGCGAGAGTGCAACGAAGTGGAGGAAAACGAAAAGCCGAGTCGGCGGTGATGCGGTGATAATGAGACTCCGAAGCAATCCTCGGTGAATAGCGGAAGAGTAACGATGGCGGAGCTAAAAATGAGGTGAACGCGAGTGAGTTGGGTTATGCGGATACAGCGTTTGCGTTTGCACACGGGAGCCTGGAGAGTTCACGAGGTGAGCTGCATTTTAAACAATCAACGCTAGCACTTGGATCTGACGTAGATTGGAAAGAGTATCGTAAGTGACAGTCGCTGCTCAGAATTGAGCGTGAAGGTGCGAGGATGCGCAGTGTGTCCTCCCTCATTTAGCTGTGAAGTGCAGGAAAGCAGCAGTATTGAGTCAAGAGCAACGTAAAATACAGCAATCTCAATGCGACGCAACTCAGGCGCAAACCCGACTATTCAATAAAATCTAACATTTCACTGAGATGTATCAGTCGCCATTCATTGCCATCATCCCTTCGCAGGCAAGTGGAGGAAAGTGTTAGTCTCACGCCAACCTAAGAAAAAGCTCAACACCCTGGTGTCTCTAGGGCTACGTTGACGTTGGGTCACCTAATTTGCAGGTTTTTGTTTTAATGTAGTATGTAGACCTGTTTAATTTTTTTCTTGTCTGAGGTGGTCTGATAATCGAGCCAAAATGTCCTCGCAGAACCTCGCCTGAGGAGGCCGGCATGCGGGATGATAAGCGAGATGTATTTGTAATCTGCCCGTCTACTTCAGTTTAACCTGTAGCACACCCCTCCATGCCTGTAGTGCGCTATCAACATATTCAGTTGCGTAGAAGTCGACATCGTCGTCACTCAGCACATGCTTCAGTGCCTCGCCCGTCTTGCCCCACCGTACCTGCGCCTTAATCGCAGCACGACCTCTCTGTTCGATGAGATTGATGTAGCTATGCGCCACATCCCGTACCGCCTCGAAGAAATTCTTCGTCTCAGTTTCCATATCATTGACCCAGTTCTTTGACAACTTGGCCTTCATGCGGTGGGTCTTCGCATTGATGACCTTCTCGCGTAGGTGTTCGATCAACTTGATGAGTGCGCGCAGGACTTCGAACTTGGTATAGCAGGACATTAGCATATTCTCGTGGAACATGGTGGGTTCGTCTTCGGGCTTTTGGTGCGTGGCGCCAGGCATACGCAGGTTCTCCATTGCAAGTCGCATTTCGGAAACCTGGTCAAGAAGTGCTTCCAGCACCCCAGGAAGCGTTTCCAAGGGAAGTCCTGGCAAGATCATCGCCTTAACGATGAGGTTGATTGCATCCCATGTGTCCTCAACTTGGTATTCCGCAAGCGTCATGTCAGGCTCAGTTTCCCAGGCATGACCCGGAGGCATGGCAACTTGGTGTATCCATTTGCCCTGGAACTCCAACACCTGTGTCTCTCTATAGAGAAATCTACTGCTCGCGTCCCAGATATCAAGGCTCTTGGCCAGCCAATGAACTTCAGGAAGGCCGTTGGGCATGATGTATGAAAGTGGTCCAGGATGTTCACTGTGCTCGTAGTTGGGGAATATGGTCCTATCCACGACGTCCTTGATATTCCGGTAGCCTGCATGGATTAGCCAGTTTCCAGGTTCGAAATGAGTGCAACATACTACTTGAGTCGATAACGGGAATGTTATCGATCGGTTCACCCTTGAGTCGTGCTATGCGACGGCCCTCTGTGTTGCATATGTGCTTTGTCAAGCTCGACTTGAAATCCCGTTTCGCGGCCAAGAGTTCCATAGCTTGATCCCATGGAAGCGACTGGAGATCAGAACATACTGCCTCATTAAGCTTGCGTTCCATCCTCTCCATTGTCCCGACAGCTTTTCCTAGTTCCTCTTCGGCTGAGAATCCTTGGTAGCCTTTGGCACCAAATGGATGTGTCAGTGAGATGCGTGACAGAACATATGGTGACAAAGTATGCACTAGCATCTCCTTGCATTTGGTGTGGCTGTACAACTGGAAAGCGGATTTTCCTAGACCGAGGTTTAGCTGCAGCCGTGCAGCAAGTAGTGCCAGCGGTCTGTTTTGCTTTTCTTTATCGCTCGCCACCAAATGGCGCGCTAACATTGCAGCTTGAAGGAGAACTCGTGAGTTTGGCGTATTTCCGAAGGGATGATCGGGCTCTTCGTTGCGCATAGCTTCTTGGTGAATCCAGAGGAGTGTGTATATTGCGACAAAACCTTCAGGCGACCTGGGTGTCCGTAACTGAGGGGCTCGCAATGCGGCGATCAAAGGTACCTCCATGAGCCCTTGCCACCTTTGAGCAGATGGCGTCGAGAGTGATATCCAGAAAAGATAACACATCTTGAGACGATTGCCGCAATGAATAATCCAGTCTTGAGCCGGGTACTGATTCTGTGCCAACAACTTCTCCGCGTCTTCGTAATGATTCTGTGCAAAATTCCAGAGCTCTCCTCGGTCCTCTGAGGTCATTCCGTCTAGGAATGGTCGAATATCTGCGTAACATGTGATAAGGTTCGCGTGGTTCTGCCAGTACGTCTTACAGTCGGCCAGCATTGGAGTTCCTGGAGCGACATTCTGGCGAAGTGTCATGTACGCAAGTCTCAAGGGGCGGTCTTGGCTTTGGAACTCCTCCGGGTTGAAAGTACGACTTGTGATATCGGAGATCAGGCGAACAGCATCGTCAGCAGAGCGTGTTGCGTACGCGGCGGCTAATAAGGACGTCCAAATATCTTTCTTCCAGGCACAAGTCTCTCGAAGGCTAAGAACGTCAGCGATAAGTAGGGTTTGGAAGTCGCTGCAGCAATCCGCAGTCACTTTACGATGTTACACTTCGCTGCTGACTCAACATACCTTTCCTGCTGTGATATAATGCGCTCGATGTACGCAAGACACTGGCTTTCAAGTAGAGACCATTCTTTACTCTGCCGTGCAAGTCTAATCTTCATGCCCCACAAGTCACCTCGATGTTTCGTCATAAGGTCCTGGAGGGCTGCAGGCGGGTGGTTCCAGTGTTCGAACAGCTCGCTACACTTCGCTTGCCGCGCGAAGATCTCGCCCATAAAACGCAAGTCGCGTATATCCTTGAAAGCGATGGGGTCATCTGGAGCCGCCTCGTATGCTTGCTTCAAAAGTCTACGAGCCAGGTCGAATTGAAGTCTGCTTTTCATCTCGCCCTGGGGAAGTCCGCGCTGCTGTTCAGCTGCGAGTTGAATAGCGAGTGTTTGCGTGAAGTGAGCATGCTTTTTTGCAGATGTTGATCCAGCGCCCTCCTTGGTTTCTTTGCTGTAGTGAAAGACAGCCTGTCAAGCGTTAGTACCAAATCTAATCTGACCCTGTTGTAGTTTCATATGGTAGCGAGAAAGCGCGCGAAGATGCGCATTCTCAAAGGTGTCGAGATACAACTAGGTCGTGGCCAAATGCCGGTTTCTTACGTACCAGGCGGAAGTCTTCCCAGCATTCCTCTGCCAATGCCACATTTGCTAGAGCAGACCAGAGATCTTGACGGTCTTCCTTGCGTCCCAAGGCTTTCGCAGCACGTTGCCAAACTTTGAGGTTCCCGTCGCCCACTCCGCTGATGTTTAGGTTATTGTCCTGATCTTTCCGCGTAGCATCGGCTAAGATCTTATATAAGTAGGACAGCAGCCGAATATCGTTCACCCCTGGTTGCTCCCAGGCTTGTTGTACCAAATTTGCTACATCGGTGTCCACATTATTCAATGTAAGACATAACCGAGCTTTCCATGCCTGCTCGAAATCAGCCTGAGAATGAAATTTACGATGTCGACTAGCATACCAAGAGAAATGGGTTCTTGGGCGTCTTCTTGAGCGATTTTTGTACGAACGAGTCTGCGAACTTCGCTTTTGGGTAGTCGCGCTGAGCCTTACACAGCTTCTCCCAACTGTTGCAAGCCATGACAGCCGGCACCGAAGCGCGGCTTGATTTCGCAAAAATAGGAACGACCGATGAAAGGCTAGTGATGCTCGATCAATGTCAAAAATGAGGTGATTGGCTGGTTGGAATTATTCGTCGTTGGCGGGGATGTGTAAGGACGGGAAAAGATGATGTAGGCGTTCGGGCGGAAGTCGGAAGCGAGCGCCTCCGCTTTAGGTTCTCTCACCAAGCAACTGCATCTCTCACTTGCCCCCTGCCTAGATAATCAACACCTGCGCACGAACAAAAAGCAGAAATACGACGCATCTGGCTAGTTATAAACTCGTAGGGTTTTACCGTCATTTCATTGTAATCCACGTACTATCTCATTCTCGGCAAGTTAAATCGGGAAAGCATCTCCTATAAAGAAACCCCCAAACAGGTCTGCAGACTACATCAAGATGAAAGCATGCAAAGTAGACGACGTAAGGTCAACGTGGACTCCAGGGTGCACATCCCCCCACGAGACAAGCAGTCTAGTCAACCTCCATATCCATATCCTCATCTCCATCCACCTTCGCAACAGAACTAACGCCCCGCTTCTCTACGCGCCTCTTGAACTTATCCTTCATATTTGCAGGCCGCGCGCTCAACACGCTCAAAGGCGAGCCGCCTCCAACCATGAGCTTACTCTGATCCACGTTTCCAACACCGGCCTTCTTAGCTGCCCTCCTGCGCTCCATACCCGCCTTGCGCTCCGCTGCCAATGACCTAGCAGTATCTCCGATCTCAATTAGATCCTGGTTGGCGCCCTTGACCATGTTGTAGGAGTTGCGGAAGTCGGCGTACTCAGGACCTTGGATGTCGTCACTGAATGCTTTTTGGTCTAGTTCGGTCCAGGTCTTGAATTCGTGCGCGAGGACGGCTGCTACGACTAGTTGCTGCAACATGCCGTCTTCGTCTTTGCAGATACGAGCTGGGCTACCCAACGGGGCAAAGGTAGCGTTGATGGCGTCTTTGATCGCGGAGGGAGTTTCGTTGCGCACGTTAATGAAGAGCTGGACGAGCTTAGTGTGGGCAGCTGACTTCAGCGCGTCGTAGTCTAGCTCTTCAGCCAAAGCGTACATGTGGAGATGGAAGGTGTAGTCATGGATGTCGACTAGAGCGGTAGTAGCGGCGGTGGGCGGGTTGAGATCTGGAATAACAGTTGCGTGATAGAACTTGAAGTTCTTCTGAATGAGCTGCTTGCTACCGTCCCGGACGACCAGGTAGTCCGATGTGTAGATGAAGTTGACGATTCGGTCCATGAGGATAGGATGGAAGTGAGGCGGCAGATTGACGAACTCTGGCGGGTTTGGAATTGTTGCCTGGCCGCGTTAGTCTCGATCATAGCAAATGTAACGAAGGGAAAGCTTACACCACCAGGGAACAGTCCCTCCTGTAATGCCTTCGGGCCGCCAATCAACATGATAGAATGTACTTTGAACTCCACACCAGCGGCGGTAATCAGATTGAAGTCGCGACCGATAGGCGTCTCAAGTAGGAATTGAACATGATTAGCCTGCAACTTCTTCGCAGCAGGTGGATGGGCGTAAGGTTTCTTGAAGACCTTGCACAGGAGATTGCGAGCGCTGCGCGTATCGATCTTCTCTGGCTGGATAGACGCAGTCTCGCGCTGCAGCATCGGTATCTGGGGCACCTGGGGCACCGGAAGCACCTTGTATGTGCGTGAGGGATGTATGTCGTCCATCGCAAATGAAGGTGTAGGAATAGTAAATCAGAGATCCCCAAAAGTGTCTTGTGGTGCGGAGTTGAGGTGGGAAGTGGGGTGAGACAAAGTGAAGGCCTGCGGGCTTGGAAGTCGCGTGCGCTATATCGTTTGGCGCTTTTCACGACAATGGCGCGAATTTCGCAAAGTGAAGAGACACAAGTGCAGGCACGTAGGCAAACTGACCAATCCGCGATAATCTTTTGCATGAAGCATCCACATTACTCGTACAATCATATCCCATAGAGGCCCAGCTCTTAGAATGTTGGCCTTGTCCTCTCACCCTTCCACAAGCCCATAACCTCTCCTGTCTCTCCAACCCACTCTCTGACGCCAGTGACGACAGCCTTCGCCATGCCTGCGTTTGTTCCACTTCTCGCCCTCCTCTTCCCTTCCATGCCGCTACTGGCTCCACCGACGCCAATGCCTGTTCCGGTTCCGGTTCCGTATGATGCTGGTGCTGTTCCTGGCGTGATGTAGCTGCTACCGTCTCCGGTCGCGTACTCCGAGCCCATCGAGGGGAGGACATTTTCGCCAGCAGACAAGGAGACGAACAAGGCGAAGGGGACTAGCCACACGCAGAGGCCGAAGTAGGATGCGATTTCGGTGAAGGTAGGAATGTTGGCATCGCGAGAGTAGGGATACGAGGAGTACGTGTTTGCCGGTGGAGCACTGAAGTGGCGGAACCACAGGTAGTGGTTCGCGATTACAAGAGCTGGAAATGATGGTCAGCATTGCGCCGGTGGGAACTTCCAATAATCCTAGCATACCACAAGAGGCCAAGAAGAGTGGATCCGTGAGCTTGACGATAGGGAACCGCCTTAGGTTCTGCGCATAGATGAAATGCGACCCGACACTCAATGCGCTGAGTCCAATTGGAAACCTATCGACTACGAGAAGGAGTGTTTGTATGCCAACGACGCCATAAATGAGCCGGTAGAGCAGTTTCTTCGCGAAGACGGTATGCTCCTCCACGAGTTCAGAAAGGTAGTACAGGCCGGAAGCTACGTTGCGTTAGCCCCATGAAGCCAAAGAACGAGAGCATCACAGCAAAGTACCTATCGCAAGCGTCAGGAACGCGAAGCCCAGGATAACGCCGACATATCCAAGCAGCGGTAATATCCACATGTTGACTTTTGGCACACTTCAGGGGAATGCGAAGAGAGATGAAGTGTGGAAGGCTGGAAGTTTGGCCGCGGCACGATGAGGTCAGTCCAAAGGTGGCATCAAGGCTAGCGGAGAAACCCGTGGACCCGCGCCAGAGTGTGGGGTCCAACTCCAAAAAGTCGTGCGAACTCTTGGCAAGGTGCATCGAGCAACTGACAGCACGCTCGCTTTCTGAAATCACTGCGCAAAAAAAGTTCCATAACCCACGCGACAAGAAGAGCATTACAGTCATTTGTCCAGCGATTCAGAGTTAACAACCGCAACCATGTCGCGCCCCGAAGACATCCTGTACGCAATTCTCCCAGCACCGCAAATCGCAAATCGCATAACGAAGAACTCAGCGCTTACACATCTGCAGACCACCTGACCTCTTCTACAATGACTCCGAATCGCGCAAATACACAACCTCGTCGCGTATCCAAAAGATCCAATCCACAATGACCCACCGCGCCCTCTCCCTCCTCGCCCTCACCTCGCCATCCATGATCCTCGACGTCGGCTGCGGCTCCGGTCTCAGCGGCGAGATCCTGTCGCATTCCGCGGAACAAGGCACACCCGGTGGCCCACACGTATGGATTGGTTTCGACATCAGCGCATCCATGCTGGGCGTTGCGCTGGAGAAAGAGGTAGAAGGAGATTTGCTGCTGGCAGACGCGGGGCAGGGTGTGCCGTTTAGGCCGGGAACTTTCGATGCGGCGATTAGTATTAGCGCGGTTCAATGGCTGTGCAATGCTGAGACGAGCGAAGAGAGTCCTGCGGGCAGGTTATCGAGGTTCTTCAATCAGCTTTATGCGAGTTTGAAGAGGGGAGGGAGGGCCGTTTGTCAATTCTACCCTAAGAACGACGCGCAGAAGAAGATGGTAGCGCAGGCGGCGATCAAGGCAGGTTTCGGTGCGGGTCTTTTGGAGGATGATATGGGAACTAAGAGCGCGAAGACGTATCTTGTTCTGACCGTGGGTGGTGGCGCGCTGGATGGCGACATCACGGGCGTTGTGAGGGGTATGGACGGCGTCGACGTCGAAGATGCCCGGAGAAAGGCCAAGGGCATGAAGAGGGGCGAGGAGCGCAAGGGCAGCAAGGCGTACATTATGAAGAAGAAGGAGCAGATGGAGAGGCAAGGCAAGGTTGTCAAGGCGTCGTCCAAGTACACTGGCCGGAAGAGGAGGATCCAATTCTAGATATACCCACATCACGATGACGATGTTACGCATAGCACGGAGTTCTGGGTCTGGCATTTTCACGAGGGTATAAGAATGGTCAATTCAATCATGCAGCATGCTATATACCACCTACAAGTACAGCTCTATTCACATTCCAGCTGGTAGTTGTACAAGTGCCATTGCGTCCAATCGTTAAGAAAATATGTTATTGCTCCATATCCTAGGTTAACCCAATGTGAGCCGAGGCCTAGATGTGACGGTATCATCGCGCTAGATCAAAGCTTAGCAAACACGAAGATCATGACGGCTAAATCATGCCTTCTCCATCTGGTTCAGGACTGCGCGCGTGAACTCGTGGGTGGTGGTGTTGCCTCCCATGTCGCGTGTGCGGGCGGTACTACACGATGTTAGACATATGTTGCTCTTCAGTTGGAAATAAAACTTACCCGTCAGCAATAACCTTGTAGACGGACTGTGAGATGCGGTTGGCGTGGTCATCGAGACCAATGTGACGGAGCATCATGGCGGCGGACAGGATCAGAGCAGTGGGGTTAGCCTGGTCCTTGCCCTTGATGTCGAGACCGACGTGACGGCATCCAGGCTCGAAAACGGCGACGTTGCGGCCCATGTTGCAACCGGGGACGATACCAGGACCACCAACGAGACCAGCACCAATGTTGGAAAGGATACCTCCGTACAAGTTGGGCATGACCATGACGTCGAATTGCTGGGGCCTTGAGACACACTGCATGGAGGCGTTGTCGACAATCATGTCGTTGGTCTCGAGAGTGGGGTAGTCCTCACCAACCCTCTTGACGGTGTTGCGGAACAGACCATCGGCGAGCTTCATGATGTTGGCCTTGTGGATGCAGGTAACCTTCTTGCGGTTGTTGGCGAGCGCAAAGGCGAACGCAAACTTGGCGATGCGCTCCGACTTCTCACGGGTGATGATCTTGAGCGACTCGACGACGCCGTTGACCGACTGGTGCTCGAGACCAGAGTATTCACCCTCGGTGTTCTCACGGATGATGCAGAAGTCGATGTCCTTGTGGCGCGTCTCGTAACCGGGGATGTTCTTGAGGAGGACGATAGAGGCGTAGATGTCGAGCTCTTGACGGAGAGCAACGTTGAAGGAACGGTGGCCGGAGCGCTCGACGGGCGTGTGGAGGATACCCTTGAGACCGAGCTTGTTGCGCTTGAGCGAAGCAATGGATTCGCGGAGGAGCTCCTCGGAGTGGACGTTGCCAGAGTCGACACCAGAGACGTCGACCTGCTCCCACTCAATGGGCACGTTGTCCGCCTTGAAGATCTCCTTGACCGACTCGGAGACCTCAGCACCGATACCGTCACCTGCGCATGTTCAGAATCTATATCCATTTATAGGCGGCTATCGCGCATACCAGGAATCAGGGTAACGGTGTATTTGCCGCCGAACTTGGTGGGCTTGAAGATGTCCTGGGTGACCGTGGCCATTGCTGTCGCCGCGTTAGACTCTGCATTTTTGGCTATCTTTTACGTGGTCTTCGTACAGCGGGTAGCCATGGCGGGTGCCCATCGAGAGGCAGGCTTCGCGCCCCGCAGGAGCGTCTGCACAGGCGCATTAGCACTCGAATTCCCACCGCGCCCGCCAATTGCGGGCGCATAGACATGCTCGTACCTGCGCTGTTCTTTGGGAGGTCCTCGACAACATGGTGGAGTTGCGGCGTTGGGCTGGTGGTGAGGGATTTGAGGTGGAGAGAAACAAGCTGAAGCTGCCGTCCCCCGAAAATGCATCCGAACCGAAGGAAGAAACCGCGCTTGGCGAATGACCACATCCGTCCTTCCGCCGCGGCTCGCTCTCTCTATTATCTCCGACGCAGGGCAACGATGTCTTTCACTCGTTCCGATAAATGCTTCTTCTTGTTTTCGCAGCTTTTCTTCTCCGGATGATTCTTTCCATTTTCACAGTCGCAGTGCCTGCCTAATTCATCACAGCTCCATTTGCATGTGATCGCATGGGCAACGAGTCGCATGCTACAACAGAATTCATCTGATAAGCGGCGATGGAAAATCTCACGCTCACAGGGTCAGTGTACAATGGCCCGTTAACGTGATCTTCCCATAGTATGCTAAATGTCCTCTTCATATCATTCTACAAGGGTGGTAGAGCCCACAGGTTGGTTATGACAGTCTACTTTAAGAGCAAAAGAGGGAATCATGTCCAGTTGCTCCTACAAATCATGTAGCATTTGGACTCTTGGAGACGTGCTGCTCCGTAGAGCAGTCTAGATTTGATGCGTTCCACGAGTTGGTCTAGTTACATCAGCCGGCACGTTCGTCTGAGTATATGAGCGCTCCAAAGGTGACTCTCACTTATGCTTTGGCAGACGTGGCAGTCCCTGGCATCACAGCGTTTCTCTAGCATGTGTCACCCAACTGACTGTTCTCACCTTCACCTCCACACTCTGCCGTCTTCATCGGGTCTCCCAATCTTTAAGACGCACCCTCTTCCTCTCTCTCCACCCCTTCCCATCTCGGATATTTTCTATTATCTTCGGTCTCATACCAAGCTTTCTTCTCCAGGCTCACGCTGCCCCTAGTGGCCCAAAACAGCAGGCGCGCGACTACCGAAGCCCGAAAGCGCGTCAGGCAGCGGCGAAAGCGCGCATACCGCCAGGTATCCTCGACCTTCCGCGCCGTCAGTACTACTCATATGAGACTCTGTCGGCGAGCATCGATCCAGTTTGCCGCATAGACACGTCTTCTGCCAATTCACACGAACGTACTCAACTAGCTCGCGTCACATATAGTACGATAACGACGTCCGCACTACTCAATCGAGCAGCCCCTTCGCATTGATCACCGACTCACTCTGGGCTCACGCGAGGGAAATCACCGACTCTTCACCAAACACGTCTTAACTACTCTGAATCCACGTCTTACACAACATTCTCAAATATGAGAGTGATTGAGAGGGACACCGACAGAAAGGCCCAAGTCAACATTTTTGTCAAGGGTCAAGTTCAGGCGCTTGAAGAATACGGAGAGTATGTGGACCCAAAGGACAACGCGATTTGCTGCTATGTACCCATCGATGAGGGCCACCAGCCTAAAGTGGGCGGCAGGTTCTCCGGCAAGGTAACTATCACTTACATAAACTCATCAGAACTTTCTAACGAAACTAAAGACTCTGGCTGTAGCCTACGACACGTTCGTGGACGGCATACTCCGTAAAGCCGGCTCGCATGTGGCTAAGTCAGTGATCCTACACAACCGGAAACTGGACACCGAAACCTTTCTATGCAAGACCAGCAAAGGCATCATCGATACTGACATTACTGTGACTCCACTCGAGCACGCTGTTACGATTCAAAACGACGCCCCAGAGACCATCGGGACCATTGAGCTGCGACTGTACATCACCCGCCAACTGGGAGACTGGCACGAAATTGGCAAAGTAAAGAAGTACTACGCCCATGAAAGTGATATGAAAGACAAGGATACGGGCGGCATCGAGCAGAAAGTAGGCTACAACCGCATAGCTCCCATTTTCAGGATGTCCTTCGAAAAGGACACTACTCCACTGGAGGATAATCAACCGAAAATATACCAGCGTAGGGCGGATGCGAAACGCCCAGGTACAGAGCCGTGGGCTATATTTCGCTTCCACTATCGAACTGAAGGTTAGCTTGCTAGACTGGATTTTGGCTATCAGGCTAACGTGATATCTTAGCTGAAATTCGAGAGGAGAAAATGTCAATGAGTTTTGACCCTGACGACAAAGATATAGGCGAAGCACATACTCTAGTGCTGGAACCTCTTCCTCCTCTTACCATAGGCGCAAAGCCCTTATCGAAGAATGACGGGGACGTCTCATCACGATCAGAATCGCCGATGCTTCCCAATACGCCAGCAAAAAGCGCACAGCCGATACCAAAGGTAAGAGAAAGCCTTTCCCAACTTTACCTTTCCACAATTTCATCTTTGCGTCACTTCGAATTCCAAATCAGCCTGATTGTTGCCTGCTTCTGACATCTACCTATAGATATCCTCCCCCATCAAGAAACCTGGACCTCCACCAAATCCCTCTGAAGCTACCACGATGTCATCCCCTAAAGATCAAGCACAGGCTGCAACCCCCGAAGCGCCTTCTGTACCGACGGCCGATATGACTGCGAAAGTACCCTGCCTTCCAGAATCAAGCACCAAGCCCGCAAATGCGCTCGCAGAAAAATCTGTAGCCGTAGCCAAGGCGACTACAAAGAAGCCTCCTCCGTCGCCACTTGCCCCAGAAAAGAAGCCTCTGCAAACGTCCATCACTCCAGCAAAGGAGGAGGCCGCGAAATCAGCACCTGTCACTACCAACACTGCCAACGGTCAGAAGAAGTCAGATACGCCCCCCGTGGCAGTCGTACCAAGCAAACGTTCATCTACCACCACCAACGGTATGACACCGGAGCCAAAGCGTGCGAAGTCCGTACCTACGCCCGTGCCGACGTCTTTGCCACCCTCTACCTTGCCTACAGCTCCGCGCTCATCAACACCCAAGACGCTTTCCATCGAGCGCCAGCTGGCAGATCAGCGCAAGAAGCTCGAGGACATGCGCAGGAGGCGTGCGGAGACCGCTAAGAAGCAGGCAGACATCGATACGCAGATGGGACCTTACAAGCAGCGTATGGCGGAGGAGCTGGATCGTCTCAACCGAGAGATGATAGAAGAAGAGAGCGCGTATACTGAGGAGGCAGAGCACTACAGTGCCAGCGTCGAGGTCCTGGAGGAGTTCAAAAAGGCTGACGCTAGTACTTAGCTGGTATTGGAGTGTAGGAAACGGGCCAAAAGTGTGTTGGAAGGAGTATGGCGTTGATGCGATATGATGAGGCCGGGAGTAAGTCAAGTTTTTATATGCGCTGGATGGATGGACAACGGCTCGGCCGGGCAACTACCGTGGTATTCTTCAGGAGTTATTTGGCTAGGAATACGATGAAGCCTGGAGGTATTCGAGGTTGATTTGACGTTCAATCGGTGAGCAACGGCTTAGCGAGGCGACTACCAAGGTGTTTTGCAGGAGTTATGGAAGGAAGAATACGGTGAGGCCTGGAGGTATTCGGAGTTGATTTGATGTTCGATCGGTCAACGATGGCTCAGCCTGGCGACTACCGTGTCATTCTGCAGGAGTTATGGGGGGAAGCTTAGTCGACTTTCAATCTGGCTCATGAGTCAAGGGTCTCTCGATATGAGGGAAGTTTGTAACTATAAGCCTGCAATTTATTTGGAGTGGATAGACATCTTGGACACACGCATGCTTATTGACCTGGCGTGCGCTCTCTGGCTACCCTCATATTCGCCTTGATCCGCTCCAGTAGCTCAGCGGTTGTTGCGACAGGGGAGGGATGTAGATTCCTCTGATGTGGCGTTAGCGTAAAGAAGACCAACGGCATGTACCCCAGTGTGAAGAAGGCATTCATCGCTGAACGGTAACCAAAGCTATCATGTGTCCTTCGTCACACCGAGGCTTTAGAGAACTTACGTGCTTGAGCCAGGTAACGCATTGATCGTGTGTCCATGTTTCTGGGTCTGAAATCATTGTCAGCAAACCTGGACTTGAGATGCTTTGCCGATGAATAGGTTCAGAAGGACGTACCGCCAGTAGGGTCTTGACTAGGGAAGATGTCTTGTCCCCAGATACTCCATGCTGCTACACCAGCGACGACTGCGGCAAAAGCGAAGAAAGGGCCCTGAATCATGTCAGCATGTACTTTCCGCGGCATGTAGAAGGCCCACTATGTAAAGTAGATGCCAGGAGAGCCATGAATAACCTACACGTTGTTGGACCGCGCGATCGATGGGAGTCGGCATGCTGAAGGGTGGGAGTTGGTCGTATGTGCGTGTGTGAAAAGGAGCTCAAGGTCTTTCGTCAGAGTGCGAGATGAGATTATGAGTTTGACGAGTTTCGATAAGAATTGCAGCAGTTATAGGGTTGTAGGCAGCACTGTCTCATGCGACGCAGCCATGGCGTTCCTGGTTTACGCCACACTCGTCGTCACCCCACCAGGCCCAAAGCAGCAACGCTTGCGGGCAGCCCCATGGCAGCCCGTGCGTTTCAAGCGAGTCCACAGCATTTTTGGCCTGTGCCTAGGCGTCTCCGAACTTCACGATCCCGAACTCCAACGACCCGTCCACACACAAATCGTCAAGATGCCTTCCGAAGTTTCCGACATCAAGCAGTTCATCGAGATCTGCAGGCGCAAGGATGCCAAGTGTACGTCTACCACTTCCGTCGGGGGAAAGTTGCGGTCGCAGTAGGAGGAGGGATTGTGCACGATGAATGCGAGCCGCAGAGACCTGCGAAGATCGAGGCAGAGGACGTGATGAGAGCACTGGACTGACATTATCGCAGCCGCCCGCATAAAGAAGAACAAGAAGGTCAACAACATCAAGTTCAAGGTCCGATGCTCAACAAACGTCTACACCCTCGTCCTTAAGGACACCGACAAGGCCGAGAAGCTCAAGCAGAGTCTGCCCCCGGGTACGCACATCCCCAATGCTCCAGCGCCAATGACACGAATCTAACAACCGCAGGTCTTACCATCACCGACGTTGGCAAGAAGAACCCCAAGGGCAAGCACGCATAAACGGATCGAACGCATGAGGGACTGAGGACAGAAGTGTGCAAGGACATCAACGCACGATGCGCACGAAGCACGAAGGCATGGGCGGACGGCGTCTCAACGGATAAATTTTGTTCAATGGCATCACGGAACCCTTCACACTGGGTTACCACCAGGAATGAAAAAAGTCAAACTTCATTCCGAACACCACAGCCTGTTTCCGACGTGCACCAAGAATCATCATGTATCATGGTCAATTTTGCTGAACAGCTAGTTACAGAGTCACTACCAATAGGGCTACTAATACAGCGATTGCTTCGGCTTCTGTCCTTGCTTCACGTTGAACTTGTACTGATCCTTGCGGCCCAGATATACAACCTTGCTATCCAAACCAGCCGCGTGTACCGCCTTCTTGAAATCATCCAGCGGGCTCAGGAACACATCGTAGTCGTCGTAATGGATTGGAATCGTCAGGTCGGGATTGATGAGCTGCATGAGCTGTACACCCTGCTCGGCATCCATTGTGACCATCAGCAATGGCATTTTAGGCCCGGGGATCGTGGTGCCTCCCAAGTGGACCAGCATCAGGTCGATGTTCTGGTCCTTGTATCGCTCAGGGATCTCCTTGAGCTCGTCCACCATCAACGTGTCGCCGGAGATGTAGATCCGGTACCCGTTTTCGAAATCGCTGCCATCGCCAGAAGAACCATTCGAATACCCCAATTCGACCATCCAGCCATTCGTAGGTGGTACAGCGCCAAGCATATCGTTCGCGACGTTCAGTGGACCTGGAGGCACATGCTTTCCCGGGACACCTGTGACTTTGATGGTGGGCTTTGGACCGCTACTATTTGTCTGGTCTGACTGCGATACATCTAGGAGCAAGCTGTTCCAGAAGTCGAGCGCATGCACATTCTTGAATGACTCCTCGCCTTTGCCCGTCAGGCATTCCTTGGCATGTGGTGTAGTGATGATCGGGAGACCTTTTGACAGTTTCTCCTCTACTTCTCGGTCGAAGTGGTCTTCGTGGTAGTGCGACAGCAAGATCACATCGATTCTCGGTAGCTCTTCCAAATCGATGGCGGGGTTCGTTTGTCTCGTAGCACCGACGCCGGGTCCCAGGTGAACGTGATCGCCAGCATGTAGGAAGTTGGGATCAGTGAGAATGCGGATGCCCTCCCACTCTAAGATTGTAGTCGCAGTTCCAACGAAGAAAAGGGAGGCGTTCGTTGAAGCGTCTGGGGCGTTTTGGGGATGGATTTTGGTCTCTTTGGCGTCAGGTAAAGAGGTAGGAACGTCGGTGTCGAGTTTTGTAGGTGGACCCGAGCCGTCTGGTGTAATTTGAATGCGCTTCATGCTTGCACCTGACATTGCGTTTCGCTTGGTGAGATGGTTATGGTAGATGAAGAATCGTATCGCTTCGTCTTGCTCTTCCGTAGATGCACTCTTGATTGTGACTTTCCGATGCTAGGCGTCTCTGTTCTATGTACTGGCGGGGAAGGTGTGCGAGCAATGCGAAAGCAACGGTGTAAGGGTAGGCAGGAAAAGAGAGCAAAGAATAGGAAGCGCATCTCGTCCTTGGTGTAGAACGCCATCACGTAACGAGTAGATAGCAATGACGACAAGACGCGGTAATCGTAAATACTGCAGGGCGGGCGGTGATCATAAGAACAATGCTCGAGTACGTCTGGAACCACATTGCCGCATCGCAGCTGCTGTTGATATGCCTCATCGTGCTGAGATAAATTTGGGTTGCGGAAGGAGGCTATACCGTGCCTGTGCCTGAGTACGCGTGTCCTATCTGTAGCACAAGGAAGAGCGATGCTTGCGAGTCTCAACGAGGCTGAGGTTGAAGGTGGAGCTTCCCGTTGAACTCCGCTGTGGCTGATGTTTCCTGAGATGCGGGACCCCTGTCTAGCCAAGCTATCTGCATCGGGGATGAGCAATGAACACCTGGCGAGTCAGACAGAGGGCGCTTTGAGCATTGCTTCCCAAGTCGACTGGAGTCTGGAGCAGGATGTCAAGTTATCAGACTTCGCAAGGGTGAAATACACTCGCTCCGCCTGGTCTATTGTTCAATCAGCACTACGCGTCGCGCCGCCTCATGAACTCGACACGCGACCCGTTCAACCTCCGCAGCAAAACAGCATTCAAGACACCCTCCGCCTTCGCCGTCCTCCAGAACGCCGCCAACAAGAAAGCCTCGCAAGCCGTCGAATCGACCAAGCAGGCAGTCGAGGCCACGAAACAGGCGATTCAGGACTCAGATATGTCCTTCGCCATCCCGCGCAACGTACCCAATTTCGAGAGCGCGCAACGAAAGTTTGAAGATAATGTTTGGAACAAACTACCGGGGAACGAAAAGGGCTTGCCAATGTATAAGGACAAGCCTTCGGGGAAAAGCTATGGATATGGCGGTGGTGCAAGGGGAAGGAAAGGCTTCCTGCGGAGTAAGAGGGGCATGTCGCTGATAGCACTGGTAGTGCTGGGGCTGTTCTACTGGTTCGGATGGTCTAGTGGTGGCACAAACGTGGGCACAGTACAAGACGAGAAGGATAGGGGCAAGAGCTTGTTGTCAAATATAGGTGGAAGTGCTGCCGGAAAGAAGAGCAAAGTTGACTGGGAGAAGCGGAGACAAGCAGTCAAAGACGCCTTCCTACTGAGTTGGAACGCGTACGAGGAGCATGGCTGGGGTTACGACGAGTACCACCCTGTTTCGAAGAAGGGTCGATACATGGCTGAGCCCAACGGTCTGGGCTGGATCATCGTGGACGCACTCGATACTCTCATGATCATGAACCTCACAAAAGAACTCACCCACGCGCGGCAATGGATCTCGACCAGTCTCGATTACGACAAGAAGCAGGATGTCAACACCTTCGAAACAACTATACGCATGCTTGGTGGTCTGCTGTCTGCGCACTACTTGCAAGAGACACTTCCAGGCCTGAAGCCAGAGAACTCGAACGAGGAGGACCTTTTCCTGGAGAAAGCCACCGACCTGGCTGATCGTCTCATGGGCGCGTACGAGTCACCTTCGGGTGTGCCGTGGGCCAGTGTGATCCTCAGAGATGCTAAAGGCGAAGCCTCGCACGCGGACGGCGGTGCGTCCTCCACAGCCGAAGCAACCACTCTCCAACTCGAGATGAAATACCTAGCGTTCCTCACCGGTGAGGCACACTACTGGGACGTGGCTGAGAAAGTAATGAAAGTCGTGGACGACAACGGCGCCAAAGACGGTCTCCTACCCATTTTCATCTACGCAGACAAAGGCACCTTCCGCGGAAGCGAGATCCGATGGGGCAGCCGTGGAGACAGCTACTACGAATACCTCATCAAGCAGTACCTGCAGACCCAGAAGCAAGAACCAGTCTACCAAGAGATGTGGAACGAGTCGCTCAACGGCGCAAAGAAGCATCTCCTCACATACACGAAGAACAGCCACTTCACCGTCCTAGCAGAGCGACCAAGCGGTATCGAAGGCAAACTCCACCCCAAAATGGACCACCTCGTCTGTTTCCTACCCGGTACCATCGCCCTCGCTGCAACCGGCGGTATTCCCCTCGCCGAGGCACGCAAACTACCTACCTGGGGCAAAGCACAAGAAGAAGACATAACCCTCGCCCGCGAACTCACAAAAACATGCATGGGCATGTACAAAGTAACCGCCACAGGTCTCGCCCCTGAAATCGCCTACTTCCAGCTCGACGACCCGCCCAAGATGTACCGCACCGAGATCCTCGCGTCCAAATCCGAGCTCGACACCAGCGTTCCCGATGGCGAGGGCTGGAAGAGCGATTTCGACCTCAAGCCCGCTGATACGCATAATCTCCAGCGACCAGAGACTGTAGAGTCGCTCCTGTACATGTGGCGTATAACCGGCGACGACATCTACCGCGAATGGGGCTGGGATATGTTTGAAGCTTTTGTCAAGCACACTATCGTAGAGGACAATGGCGGGTTCTCTAGTATTGGTGATGTGACGAAGGTACCTCCTCCGTCGCGAGACAACATGGAGAGTTTCTGGCTTGTAAGTTCCTTTTCCCCTTCATCCGCACATCTTCAGAACTGTTGAACTGCTTTGCTAACATACAACGCAGGCCGAGACACTCAAATACATGTACCTCCTCTTCTCCCCCGACGACCTCCTCCCTCTCGATCAAATCGTCCTGAATACTGAGGCCCATCCATTGCCTCGCTTCGACGCAAGCAAGAAGAGGTTTAAGACGGGCTGGGAACGTATACCGC